TTTAGATTAGACATCCGCAAGAACTACTTCACTGGCAGGGTGGCTAGGAGCTGGAACCAGCTTCCAAGGGAAGTGGTGCTGGCTCCTACCTGGAGGTCTTTAAGAGGAGGCTTGATGCCTACCTAGCTGGGATCATTTGAGCCCAGTTTTTCCTCCTGCCCAGGCAGGGGGTCAGACTTGAAGATCTACAAGGTCCCTTCCCACCCTACTTCTATGATTCTATGATTCTATGACAGGTGTATGTTCAGTGTCTTTTGCTGATGAGCCTCCATGGAGCAGAAAACTCTTTAAAAAACGCACTGAGAAACAGATGGAGACACAGGGCGTGTGTAGACAACACGAGAGACAGAACGACAGAGACAGACAGAGACAGCAAATGGCCATACCCTGGTGGGCAGGATGCTCACCTGGGAGGTAAGAGACCTCATTTCCACTCTGTTCCTTGCCTGATTCAGAGTGGAGAGCTGACCTAGTCTTTCACCACACAAGAGCATGATCAAACTAATGGGCTACAGGACATTCTGGCACCAGCCTCCCTCAGTGTCTCTTGCTGACACAATGCCACTTTGTATAAAGTATTTACATGGTCATTAAGCCAGAGGGAGAACAACGCTCTAACCTAGTGGTTGGGGTGTTCCCCTGGGAAATTGGACACGGGGGGGTTCAGTTCCTACTTCAGTGAATATATAAGTAATTTACTCATGGTAGAACAGCAAACCTGTCCCTGGATAGCCTTTAGCCTTGCATTTAGGACCCTTCCCAACAAGCTGTTTAAACTTCCTCCAGCAAAAGGAGGGGACAGGCTCAGGGTTTCCCATCTTCTGGGTACATGATCCGACACACTGGCTATTAAGCAAGACAGAGCCTTCAGGTATGTGGTCAATCTAGCCCTTTAACTACCTTTGCTTTTATTACAAGTTGGTCCAAAAACGAACCCATTCTGGCATTTCCAAACTGATCTGTCATTTTTCATTTTGGACAATACTGTTGGATGATGCTGATTTGAACTCACAGATGGTTTCTGCTGAATTTTTGATGAATAAATGGATTTCCAAAAATAATGTCATTCAGCTGTACTGCCACTACACAAGGGAAATCAAGATCAAGTCACTGAGTCCAGACTAGAAAGGCTGTGCTAATGCAGCTTATTCCATCCCTGAGCATGGGAGAAGTAGTGCACTTCTCTTCTCCACTGTCTCCCTGGGTCTGGTCAGGAGTTTTAATGGTGATGGGCTCAGTGAATAAACATTGAATAAGTCCACTCTCACCTTGCAACACCAGCAGAAGCAGAACCTATAAATCTCAGACTGGCAGCTGGGGGCAGAGGCCTTTTAGATTAAGTAGTCCACACTTTGACAAGAGTAGGAGTTTTTCCTCTAGTATATGCTTAAAGACTTTGTCCAGTTCTGTTTTAAGCAACTCAATTTTGAGAAGGCTTGTACTGCCACTTCTCTTGGGAAGACTACCTCCAGATTAACAGATGTCACAGCTAGAGAATGCTTCCTAGTTAGCCTCATGTTTCTTTTGTTCATTCCCTTTCATCTCATTAGTCCTAGTTATTAGACTTTGGTCTATCCTAAACAATATCTAGCCCTCATTTGTGTTCATAACAACATTAGGGTACATCTCCTAAGGATCTTAAAGTGTTTTGCAGATGCAGCCTACTGGAACTCACTATAACAGACTCCTGACCAACATGAATACCTTTCAGTGCCGGGGTGTATAAGATACCCATTGGATTAATAAAGGACACACCATCCTCCCCATCCATCTCGGGGTCATTCTCCGCTGCCGCATTGCCACCTACATCAAATCAGAAGGCACCTTAACATACTCTGGCTCATTAGAACAAAGCTGCAGTTAATTTTTGCAATATGCATGCACATTCATTGTATGAAGCATCCGAATGAGAAAAGGAAATTATTCAGTCCAAATATCCAGCTGGGCAGCTTAATGGATGATGGGAAGGTTTAGTAGATTGTGGTATGGGCTGCCGGCCTTTCACTTCAATAACATGTGTGGCTCTTAACAAAGAGAATTAATCTTTCAGTTCAAGTCCCTAGCAGACCATTGCTCTCTCAGCACAAACATCACCTTTAACCATTCGGATGCTGTGTAAAATAGTCAGACCCTCCTGTGCATTTTTTTGGCCAGCAGGCTGGAAGATGCCAGTGCTTGAGGGCCAGTTCTGCACAGTTGCTGATGAGGATGTGTACTTCACCAGCACAGAGAGTAACAATCATCTGTTCTCCAGCATCTCCTTCTCACACCTACACTGACCAGAATTCAACCCCCTAACTCTGCCTGCTCT